TAAGTTATCTAAACACTAATGTATTGTGTTTGGCCCCTAAAGTCGCCGACAGAAAAAATAAGGATTAGTTTTCGTGCCTTAGAACTACTACAGAATATCTACGTCTTGCGACAAATATTGATGGTATCCCATTACTACAATATCTATGTAGTTTACCATATCAAATTGATCTGCGGTCCCCTAAAAGACATATTTGACATTGTACAGAATATTGAATCAGTGTCCGCTTAGTTAATATTGACCATTCTTTAGACTACGATATACCTATATGTAATTGTTTATATATACTTATAAGTAAATAAGTCATGATGGTCATGATCAAAATGAGACAGCATTGTCTAAAATGCCATAGAAATATGTGTTCGCCATATCTTAGAATATGTATGTAATTAATGAAACAATCATAGATCTATAGATAGGTGCATATTGATTTTATAGATATATACAATAGAAAATAAGATTCAGTAACTCGTATAACCCTCTAAATCCGACGACAAAATATTGGGTCATTTTCTTATTTTTTTAAAGTAAATAAGTATCAAGTTCAATACACATTTTATCGGGGAGTTTGATATAAAATTATTACGGAACCCATAGATACGGAATGTTTTACATGGTAACATAATGTAGTTAAAAGTACTAACTTACTGAAGCGAGTAATTTTAAATTAATCAGTATGTTTTGTTTGAAGATTTATTTTAAGACAGAATAGTTGTGTTAGATATTATTATAATAATATCGACAAACTAATGACTAAGAAACTTGTATTGGACAGTGAAATAAATATGCTCGCCAATAACTATTGTAGATTTCAGATTCCTAAACCAAGAAACCGAAGAAAGAATGTGTTTTATCACAATAAACTTAAGCGCTAATGCTTTACACCCTTATTTCTTTGGAAATAAAAACTATTCTCAGATTCTCAAGAAATATCAAATCGTAAACAAACGCGTCTACCATTCAAGCGCTATGTTTTATTGGCATCCCTTTCCCACCGAGCTTGCCGCGCTTTTTAGGATTTCGAACGAAACGTTGGCGGCATTTAAAATAAGCCGCGAGTTAATTTTGGTCGGAATCTGGTAAGGGGAGCCTCAAGAGGACTGGGTCATATTTTGATATACTTATTATGAAAACATATAGCAAGAATTCTCTAAAAATATAATTTTGGACATATATGAGCTCTAATCATCGATATTTTATTGTTCAGAAGCATATATCATATAAAATAGAGCAAAATATTATTATGAAGTAAATGTATGGAACGAGGATTTGCAATTTATTATCAACCCTAACTGAATAACACAGAGATTATATTTGTATACGCGATAGGATCTATACGTCACGGATATACGTAGTACAAGATGCTTCATTGATTTTGTGCTGTTGGTAGCGTTGGGAATTTCGACCAATCAGCGATCGAGATAGATGGCGCTGTAGTACCGACGCGAGACGACCCAAGCTAGCTTGCACTGGGAACATTTGCTTGAGCTCCATACATTTTCTTCTGGTTCTCTACGTCTACAGTTTGGTTGTGTACCAGTTCAAAAATAATTTCAAAATTTTTGCCATCAGGTAAGTCTAATCATTTTTCTAATTAAAGTTAAGTGTTTTATTATATCTATTCGTGTTTATTAAGGCGTAATTCTCAAAATTAATTTTCTTTCCACGTTGGAATTCTCATTCAAACATGGCTATAGGCTTCGTCGTACTTTCCTTACTACGCGTGGGTATGGCGAAGGACGCCTTTATTCAATAATTAATTTCTCACATCTTTTCCATTGGAGCCCTGAAACAGTTCTTCTACAACTTTTAGTTCTATAATTGTGGGATTATTTTGTAATTATGTCATCTAAAGTTATTGCGTATTTTCAACACAAAATGTGAAAACAAAATGGCTCTTTCGACCCAAGCCTAGGCCAGTGAACTCGTTATATGGGGCGATAACTATTTTTGAAGATTTTTCTATTGTAACTCATGATTAAAACGTGTTTTTAGGTGCATATTAAAGTATTTTTATCGTTTTATTATTTAAATATTCTAATTTCTGATTTTACTGTCTCTAAATGGGTTTCCCGCCAAAACGCCGCCCTAGGAGTGCCTACAGAGAAGCGAAGGCTCGATAGCGGTCGTATAGAGCCACGCATGGCCCGCATAACCTGTTGCGAGCTATAGTACAGTGTTTTATTTTAATATTTCCATGTTTCGTTACAGGAAAAAAGTTAAAATGACGGACAAGCCAAAGCGTCCTATGTCGGCATACATGCTGTGGCTGAACAGTGCCAGAGAACAAATTAAGGCTGATAATCCAGGTCTAAAAGTCACCGAAATCGCCAAAAAGGGAGGCGAGATATGGAGGTCAATGAAGGATAAGAGTGTGAGTAATATAAGCATTAACTTAATAATTTACATTTTCCTTAAGTATTTCAATATAATTTCATACATGTATTGTTAATCTTGTACAGGAGTGGGAAGAGAAGGCTGCCGAAGCTAAGGAGCAATACACAAAGGACTTAGAATCATATAATGCTAACGGTGGTGGTGGCGAAGGAGGTGGAAAGAAGGCACAAAAGCGTGGAAAGAAGGGCAAGAAAGCATCAGCGCCAGCTGTAAGTTTTCATTTTATTAAATTTATCACTATATTTAAGATGAATATGTATATATAATACAAATATGTATATTTTTTTTTTAGAAATCTAAGAAGAAGAAGGAAGAGTCGGAGGATGATGAGGGTGAAGAGGAGGAAGATGAAGAAAGCGAATGATCTCCCAGCCTATATAAGACATTTCTGTTCATATTGAATAATTTACTGGACTTAATTTATTACAAAGTAAAATGGGACTGACTTTCCAAAGTCTGTGAAACAATTTACAATTTCATTTTATGCAGCATTTAAATATATAATTAAATTGATTTAAATAATTGTAATTCTGCTTCCCTTTAATGATTTTAGATTAATTTCTTGGTCCACTCGATGAAATTGTTGATTGTTAATGAACTACTTTTAATTTTTAGTAGTATTAATAGGAATAGAAGTGTATGTAAGAGGACTGCAGAGTTTGGAAAGTTTCACCACAGGCTAGGGTCTAGGTTCTAAGCCTCAAAAAAAATAATGTTTAAGTGTTAGCATGTATACACTGGGGAATTGTACAGTTAGACCTCCCTTGTTAAGTTCGCTGTGACTACTGGATGCTCACATTTAATATTTACCTCACTTCTGGTTTCATCAAAACTTATATGTCCTAGCACTGCAATTGCTGTGCAACCCTTATGTTCTGAAGCTGTGCTTTGTATTAATGAGTTTGCCATAATTGTAATTTACTATGTTATTTCAATTAATTGTGCATGTTCATTGACATAACAGTTTTGGTCAAACTATATCCACATGTAAAATTAGAGACCATTTCATAAAATATAATGGCTTACTGTTAGTTAAACCTACCTCTTCTCATTGTAAATTTCAATGCTGATAATGGTACCAAACTTAGCTGCTAAGAAAACAGGCAGCATGGGCAGTCTCATGCTGGGCAATTTAAATAATTATAGGAAATTGATGTGTATGTTGTATTTTTAGTTAGTTACTAGGTAGGTTTTCGATGTGATTTGTCTCTCAAATTTTACATTTGTGTTATTTTATAAATGAGAATTAGCATTCCTCATGTCAATACGGATTTTACATGTTCAATAAAGTAATTTCATATAAAATATTCTATTTTTCAATTTGTCTTTTACTATTAGAGATTTGATTTTAATAAAAACTCATGAAAGATCCTACTTTATCTCTTAGTGTTTACCCCGATTAACCTTAACCCTACAAACTCGTCCAAATATTTAAAATTTGTAAGTAAATAATACAGTGTCATTTATATTTATAGCTAAGCTTTTTGACATCGCACATTTGTAAGTAGGTATATAAATGTCAATATAATGTACTCTGACAAATAGAATACTGTACTTTGTTTATTTAGGCCTACAGACGAAGGCACTTTGCAAATATCTAAAAAAAAACTATCAATACAGTTAAATAATTAAGGACAACGCCATACATAAAAAAGCCATAATGGATAGACAAGAGGAAGCATGAATACCAACTATAGGAACGAATGATAACCACAGTAATGTTGCCAACTTTATCCGATTTTCCGGTTAAAACTAAATAAAAAAGGTCCAATTCAGTTATATGTACTAACAAACCACCTGAGAAAACGGAAAGTAACTGGATAACAAGTTTACAAAGCGGGCACGGCGGCGTATTATAGGAAGAAACTAATTCATTCTTTTGATTTTTAAAGATGTGTGAAGCTCTGTCTAAAATATATTGATTTTTCTGTAAAGACGATATATATGTTTTATTCTCCTTGCCTTATAGAACTTTCACATATTACGGTATTTATGAATTTTTCTTTGTATTTACAAAAAAAAACTATAGAAGTTCATTAAAAAAAATTAGGGCATGGCCGTTTTCCATTTTTCTATGTTTAGTATGTCATAAAGTTAACAGTATTTATATTACAATGTAAAAAGGCTAAATTTGATATTAAAAAACTTATGCTGGTGACACTGGGATTATTTCATCAATAATTTGACGCAGGTTGGCAGCTTAAAGCCACCATAAACTCCATAGAACTTACCATGGAGTTATACTAAAGTTCTGCTTAAATGAGCTCATTGTAAGTCTGTTATTGTTCATTACTTAATTTTTAGGAAATATATGATTGTTACAGTGGGACAAGGAACAGATTTTAATCACTGTTCAACCGAATTATGTAATTGAAATGTTATTTGATTTGTTCAAGACGATCCATGTAGATATCTCGAAATTCTTGTACTAGTGATTAATTTGTTTTAAATTCTGTTACTTTCATCCGTACGACGTATAAAGCATAGAATTTTTATTAAATATATTTGATAATATAATACACTCTTATTCTTGCTGCTGTTAAAGTCAGAATATTGAACTGGCGTCAATGTCACAATTGACAAATTTCAAATGTCAACCCATGTAATCAAAAACATTGAGACAAAATTTAATTATTGAAATAAATATTGATATATCTTTGTTTTCATTGCTATTGAAAAGTCTAAAAATTTATAAATAATTTACCTTCCGTTCAGCGACATTGTTTGCATAGTGTTTAATCGGTATGTTTGATTAACTGATTAATTATTTTGACATGCCTTATTACAGTTACCCTAACAATTATTCTAAACTAGTGGAACTTCCCGGTTTCGCACGTTTATCAGAATATATATTGGACACAATCTTTCATGAGGAATTATTCTATTAATATATGAACACTGCATGAAATTTCGTTTAGAAGTTGTTGAGATTATTGTGAACAGACAGCGTCTGTCTCTATATTCGCGAATCATGAATTTTAATAGTTAACATTAGTATTTTAAAGTAGTTTTTACTAAAATAATAGTTAAAATTGTTTGATGTAAACAAATGCTTTTCAAATAGTTTTTTTATTTTTATCCAATAGACTACACAAGACACAAATAGACTGACTTGTTTCTGAGTGTAATAATAAAATAATATTATACAAAATACCTGAAATCACTCAACATCCAAATATTGAAATACATATATTTTTGGGAATATGTACATAGATGAAGTACTTCAAATATTAGTAAAGTGTAGACAATATAGAAGTTCATTATAGAATAAGATTAGATATATACTAGAGGTTATTATCAAAAATATAGATAATAGTACATTCTTGCTGAAATATACTTTACAGGAATGGCTGGTGATAACAACACTGGTGGGGGGTCACAAGTTGCTCTTGTGACTGGTGGCTATGACCACACCATCAAACTATGGCAGGCACACAGTGGAGTATGCCTACGAACCATGCAACATCCCGACTCAGTGAGTTATTACCATTAAACACTAAGCAATAATTCCACTTTATGAAAAATAAAAAAAAAATATTATATTGTTTTTTAGGATCAGGTAAAGCCAATGCTCAGGGAACTGAATCAGTTTAATTAAAAAAAAAAAATAACTGAGAATGATTGCACTTTTTATACTTATTGGTCACAGGATTGCACAGTATGCAAGATTTAAAGAAATGTGTACATTTTTTTATTGCTGATAATAGAATCCTTGTGTTGTTGGCTAGGCAGCAGTGTAAGATGAGCATGAAGTCAGGTCATTGCTTACAAATTCACTAGGTTTTATCATGATAGTTTCCATATGGTGTGGGTGGACCAGACAGGGAGCGTTGTTGGAAATAAGCTCAATAATACCACATACTAACAATCCTCTTCCCCTTCTTTTCAGTATTTGACTTTACTTATAAGGAAATTTATTCAGCTTCATGAATACTATCATCAACTATTGACTTGATATACTTTCTATATAGGTATCTCTGTGTGATAGTTACCATAAGTGGTAACAAGAGGTATGACAGAGAAGCTGCCATTGCAGTTATATAAAAAAAAATAGCATATCTACTATACAATTAATAATGAAGCTTAGCAGTAAAGTTATAATTCCATATTCTTTATTTACAGCAAGTGAATGCACTGGAGATCACTCCCAATGGACAAATGGTTGCTGCATGTGGATACCAGCACATCCGGATGTATGACCTGGCCAGTGCTAACCCTGACCCCGTTATGAACTTTGAAGGTGTAACCAAAAATGTAACACGAGTAGGATTTCAAGTGAGTTCCTGAACAAGTATATGTTAAATTGTCTGTAAGAGATTGCTGTATTCAAGAAGGCCATCTTTAGTTAAGCACAATTATCTTATTTTACTACATTATTTTTGTACTTATATTTTAAGTGTAAATGAAAGAGTAATATTATTATTAAATCACATTAAATGTTTCAATATTTTGTAGGAAGTCATTTCACAGTAATTATTACAGTTGAATTATATTATAAGGTGAATTTCTAAAACATAGAGTATTACAGTGTTATATAGAGTATCTTTTGTGAATTATGTATTCACACAATTTATATAGTAGAATGAAAGTCTTTATTTATGCAATCTACAATATAAGGCAAAATTCTGCATTGTCATTATTAAATTGATAAATCTTAAAATATTTTTACAGAAAGATGGAAAATGGATGTACACAGGTGGTGAGGATTGTACAGCTAAAATATGGGATCCAAGGTAATTTATAATAAAATATACAAAATAATGTTCAAATTACGCTACAGGATCATGTGACCAGCGGTGGTACAGCTTATTGAAAAATTACTACTAAATAAAAACTCTGACTAGACTACAGTAATATTTTATTGCTGTGTAAGTTTAATTATTAACAATTTGGTTAATGAACTTCAAAATTTATCTATAGGGCTGGCCGGCAGTTGCAGTGCCAGGGCATCTTCCAGGTACCTGCGCCAGTGAATGCTGTCGTGCTGCACCCCGATCAGACTCAGATTATGGTTGGAGACCAGAGCGGTATCATTCACATGTGGGATCTGAGGACTGATCAAAATGAACAATTGGTATGATTTTATTTATTTACTAGCTGACCTGGCAAACGTTGTTTCTCCATATAAATTAATATCGCTATTCAAAAATAGGGGTTGGTGATAGATGCGTGTAAATTTAGGGTTGTATGTATTTTTCAATCCTAAATAATAATAAAATGAAAATAAAATATTATGTCAAAACAAATAAAAAAAATATATTTAGGGGTGAATATCCCTTACCACTTAGGGGTATGAAAAATAGATAGTAGATGATTCTCAGACCTACTGAATATTCATAAACATTCGCCGTTTGGGAGGAGTATGGTAACTAACATTGTGACACAAGAATTTTATATGTAAGATTACAAACTATGAAACTATGCTATCTCAGGGTTTCCTTTTGATGACGATGATGTTTTAAAAAATATACAAAACATAGTTAAATGTTAAAAACGTGTAAAATACCTAAAATAAGTAAAATACCTGAAGTATTTTTGTAATTGTATACAAATCACAGAAATGGATGTCGCTATGTTAAATTAGGTTAAGTCTAATAATTTACTCTTACTTCGGATATTTATACTCGATATATTTGATTCTATGTTTGCGGTTTGAATTCATTGTAGATACCTGAAGCAGAGGCGTCCATCCAGGATATAGCCATTGACCCCGAGGGCAAATTGATGGCGGCTGTGAACAACAAAGGCAATTGTTACGTGTGGGCACTGGACGGCGAGCCTCCGCGCCCTGTACCTAAGAAGCACATACAAGCGCACAAGAAATACGCGCTCCGATGCAAGTTTAGTCTCGACTCCACGTATGTTGAATTACAGAATCTTTCCAGTCATGGTTTAATTTTGTTGTTACTTTACATTTTTAAGTTTTGCTTGAAGACAAACTACCAACTAGCACTAGTTTAATTAAATACTCCAATAGAGAAAATATTAGATATACAACCAACAGGTTGAGTAAATTAGTCTTAGTAATTAGAGATATTTTTTTAATCCAGTATGAATACAAATTAAACAGAATGGCTTTAATAATTTAATCAAATTTCGCTCCTATTTTTACCATTTCTACACTATTCCACGTACTACAACCTGCGAAATTGTATTATAATTAGTTAAGGATTGAAAGAGTCAAGTCAAGAGCTGGAAGGCGATGGATGCGAGAAGCGCAGGACCGATCGTCGTGGAGATCTTTGGGGAAGGTCCAGCAGTGGACATCTTCCAGGCTGTGATGATGAAGGATTGAAAGAGCTACTATCTAACAATCAAACTTACTTTAAATATGGTTTTTGAACTTTGTATAAGAAATTCTCTAAATGATAATGAAAACAATATCATAATCCATTGCATGGTCAGAAGTAAGCTGAGAAAAAGCAACATTTCTTTAAACTATTTATAAATAGATTAGAAAAATTAAAAATTAAATAGCGGTAGATTAAAAAAAATGTAATGACTATTCAAAAGTGCTTCAATGTAAGTTTATTTGAATAAATGATTTTCTATTCTATTCTATTCTATTCTATAAATGCTGGATAGTTTTATTTGGTTTGTATACGAAAGAATACTTTTTTTCTTAGTAATAAGTAAAAAAATATTAGGTGGTCTTTGTCCAAATTTCTTTAACCACATTTATCAACATATTCTATGGTCATTTTTCTTATTATAAAATAAAATAAATTATATGCCAAGACTTCCTAATTACCTTCGTTCATGTCGAAGTACATACGTGCAGTACATATTGCCTCGCATTTTGAAATCAGAGAAAGTAATAGTTTAGTTAATTTGTGCATTACGGCAGCATGTTGGTGACGACCTCTGGTGACTGCTCGGCGAAAGTGTGGCGGACGTCGGACTGGACGCTGCTGCGCGAGCTGCGCCACGACTCCCAGCGCTGGGTGTGGGACGCCGCCTTCAGTGTCGACTCGCGGTACCTCTTTACTGGTCAGTACATCTTTCAATACTTAACGTAATAATAGTAACATTATCATGATTAAGTGGAATTTAATATATATATATATATATATTGTGAGCCTTTTGGCCTCTCCGACACCGAGCATTAAGCTATTGTCGTCTGCAGGTTCCTCGGATAGTTACGCGCGACTTTGGGACGTTGAGAAGGGCACACTCGAGAGAGAGTACTGCGGACATCAGAAGCCTATCACAGCACTGGCCTTCAGAGACCAAGCCGCCTAGTCTATACTAGTTTAATAGAAATTACCGAAATTTTGTACAAAGTTATGGCAATACATGAGTGGTAACACTGCTGTTATATGATACGTAATAGCCATGATGCTGTAAATATATGTAGATATAAATAACAAAATTGGGCTATCTATATTTAATGAGTGACAAGAATGTAATTGATATAAACAATCTATATCACTTTCGCTATATAAACATTAAATATTTTCTATTGTTAATTCAATATTTTTGATTTTGGACTTTTATACCTACTAAAGATTACAACTACAGTATGTAATAAACAGGAACTAATTATTATAATCATCGTCTGCCGTTACGTTTTAAGCATCGGTCTCTCATAAGAATATAATTCGGAAATTGATTTGGTACATACCGCTCTGGCTTCGTATGGGTGTACATATATTATACATAGAAACCATCCTCTTGAATCACTATCTTCGTGAATCTATTACTAAAAACTGCATTAAAATCCATTGCGTTGTTTGAATGATCTAACCGAACAGACAACGGAAGCGACTTCATTTTATACTATGTAATAATGTAAAGATATATCACTCGTCTTAATGTCGCTGCCGGGCCAAAGGCTGCCATTACTACCACAAGTTGTTGCCACAGTGGCATTTAGCCTATTACAGTGTAGAGTATTTTTTTATAAGCATGTAAATATATTGTAACATTATATTTAGCATTTACTGTGTAAATGTGTATGTTGTATGAATTTTTTCTTTGAATATATAAATAAAATATATTTTGTCGTATTATTTTAATATTTCCCCTATGTGAGTGATTTCAATTGTTCTTAAATTGGTAATATTATTGAATATATAATGTACTTTTCGGCATTGAATCTACTTCTATCATATTGGTAGCGATAATTATAATCCGTTCATCATTATTTGATTCTAGGAGTTTCGAAAGATTTTGTTTTGTAATACAAATAATCGAATGCCGGATATATTCTTTATAATTAATTACACATATACAATTTGATATTTTAAACATATATAATATTAGAAATTTAATATTATTATTAATTATAATTAAATGTTTCCGTTCTCCATGTGAATCATGGCTTACTTAATTCAATAATCATAATTATCTTTTGATGAATATCGTAAACCTGAAATCGTAAATTGCACTTTTGTAATTTTTATGGTCGTCACACGCGAAATTTAAGAATCTTTAGGTTACGGTGACTGTTTAGCATGCTTGTTTGCCACCATCGAAGTAAAGAAAATAAATAGGTTATTATAGGTCAACATATAAAATAAAATCCCTCTGTAAATATGATAACATTATATTCTAATAAGTTAATTATAGTAATTATGTATAATTAAGTCACGACTTATATGTATTGCACGGCAACAGCATTATAAATAATATATGTATATATTGTATTTATTAAATTGTACAGATAAATGCAACTAAATATTCTATAATGATCACATTGAATACTACTGTTCAATCAATGTAAGTGATACTAGCTTTACGATACATTTGAGATGAGAACAATGCATTAATAACATATTTTGATTGAATCTATGTATTTTGTTAGATCAAATCTTTTTTGTAACAATTAAGATCTTTCATTTACAAGTGTATGCTGTATTCATAGAAATATAATCAAAACTATATACTTATTAAATATTTAAAATAATATCTTAGTATTGTAACAGAACAATTCCGACTAGAACAAAATATACATCTCTCATTAGCAGTCTAAATTTTAATTCAGTAGTAAGTATAGCCAATGCAATAAATCAATAAGCATTCGCATAAACATGCGTTACTTTAATACATAATTTATACTTATTTTATGTAGAGATATACAAGTGCACAGAGCAAGTGGAATGTCTTTGATTTACAGATCTGTGATATCTACATTTGTGTAACTACTCGTACGTAATCCCATTTGATTACAGTCTTACATATTTTCAAGTCCGTTTCATTCGAGGATAGTACAAGAGATAGATGTAGGTAGCACACGCAACAATTGCGATTTGACGCAACACCCCCCAAGGGTCTAATTTTGTAATGTACATCGTAATAAAAGAGCGGTCTGCTCTTAATTCTCCCGTGCCAAAAGAGGAGAAACACCTTAGTTTCCAGTTCATGGGATTTTTCACGATTCATCAGGGCGAGCGCAAGCAGCGTAGATGTATATATTATTTATTTTAATTTAGGCTACTTAATATTACCCACATTATTAGTATATATCCTGTGATTAATTGTATTTATTGCCCATATTTATAAATAGTGGTTATCGCTTTCGTTCAGGTCGGATGACGGCTCGTTTTCCTGGTAGTATCAAAATCTGCTGGAAGTTATGCAAATGACTCACTCCTTTTCAATGTTTAATAACTATAATAATAAAATGTGAATAATGTGTTATTTACATTGAACAACCATACAAAACCGTTATGAAGTTATGTTTGGTAATTCAGTAATGGGGTGACCATAAACTTATTTTGCATTAATATAATTAATAATATCACAGGTAATTAAACAGATTCAATGCTAAAAGCAAGGTATCTTGTGGGTAGTACAACTATAGACAAATTATAAACGACATCTATTTTTGAAGATGTTACCCTACACAAGAGGAACAATGTAACGTTGCATTTTTGTTTTTAGCTATGTAAATGGCTTATGAAAACTTAAAATTATTTTTGTAAGCAAATTATATATTATAAAATATTATACGTAAAACACGTATAATATTTTATAATATATAATTTGCTTACAAAAATAATTTTAAGTTAATTAACACGAATAATTTTATGGTAAATAAGGTTTTTTTTTAATTTTCGTTTTAAAACTCGTTTAGTTATATTAGTAATGCAGTTTCAAATAGTAACCAAGATAGATAGATAGATGAACCAAGAGACATGCATCACGCTCAAAGCATTAATAAGAATAGTTTTTGGATAAACCTAAGCATGGTTGTTCCAAAAAAAAAAATTACATTATGTTTTATGTAAAATTGTTACATAATCCTTCTGTTAAAATTTCTTAATATAGATAAAAAGTATAATCAATGATACTAATACAAAAGAAGTGAGTCTTACAGAATGATGTTCTTAATATAATTTAAATGTATTGATCCGTGTCTCACACTATATTTAGGAGGTATCTCTACTATACGTCGTCCAGAGGTACCTGATTAATTTCCCCCATTTCCGAACACCACTCGTCATCGCACGTGTATGTGAGGACAAACTTCATGTCGATCTCCGGAAAAGACGATGGCCTGGCGATCAACATCACTTGCGTTAATGCAGGTGGCGGTAAGAATGGATTGTAAGCGGGCAATGACGTAGCGGATGGCGTGAGTAGACGAACTTTACATCCCTGCAAATTAGCAAAACAAACACATTAAAATTTCTTTTAGAAGAACATATGGGAGGGCTTTCATTTATGAATTTGAGTAACACATATTATTTACTGATTTAAGTTAGTTATACGACTAGTGCTTGTTGATACCATTTTTCAACCATTTTAAGGTATCTGTTGCATCGTGCCCTAAGTTTACAGCATCATCCTTTTAACTTCACACATGATGCAATGGATAGCTTATACCTTAACATGTCATAAATAACACAGAAATAATATTAAAGTATCCATGTTTAGGAAAATGCAAAAGTATACTAGAGAGAAGAAAGAAAGCCAAACATATCTACACCTATAGGTAGAAATAAAGAAAGTCATATGATTACATAACAATGCAATATATATATCTCACAATCACTAGATTCATTTTTGAGATTTTGACACTTAGTTCCCACTTTTAACTTAGTAAGAAGCCCACCGAGAAAAAAATGCATTATTCATAATAAATAAGTACACAATAATTAATGTATAATAAGTACTTTTGGAAATAATAAGTTACCTTTGGAACCACAGCTTGAAATTTATAGTCTACAATGGGCGATTTATTTTTGCTAGTTGTTGATATTACAATAACATTGACATCAGGCCGTGGTTTATCTTTACAGTAATGTAACACCACTGTTATACCTCCCTTTTCCTCAAAAGCAGTAAATGAAGGAACAGTGCTGGGCTGAACACTGTGTAATGTTACATTTATATCTGAGAGACTTTTCACATCACTAGTTTTATTATTCTCAACATTATCTTTTTTGTCACTTTCAGTACTTGAATTGTCATCCTTATTTCTTACAGGAGTTTCAACATTATCACATTTGGCATCATTATCTAAAGACAAACTTATATTCAAAATATTATCAATGGAATTATCTTTTTTCAAATTGTTATTAATAACATTATTTGAAGACGAATTTACATCTATGCTTATGTCCACCATAACATCATCATTTACAGTCACGACTTTTGGAGATTGTGAAGGTGGAATTGGTTTAACTTCAGGTTTTTTTGTAAAGAAATCCAAGTCCAACATAGCGTCATTAGTAGCAATTTCAGTCCCATGTTTAGGAGACTTTTCTAATGCATTCATTGGTATTTTCTTTGATGGTTTGCTGAAGAAGAAATTAAATAAATTTGATTCAATAAAATACAACACAATACAATTATGATTACTTATATTATTTCTAATTTTAGCAAATACCATACCTGTTAAAACCATCTAGTCTCTTTGCGTTATTAGGTAATGATTGTTTCATAAGTTGTTCTCCAATGGAATCTAATTCATTCCATCCCTCACTTTTACTATCCTTTTCAACGAGGAGGTCAACATCATCTAAAAAAAAATATTTTTCCATATAATTATAACATACAACTAAAAACAAGAATTCACGTAAGTGACGCTTAAATGACTGATGTTGTTATAAATTAATAATATATCTTACTAATATTATAAACCGAAAGTTAGTCTGTGTGGATATGTTACTTTTTAACGTAAAAAATACTGAATGGATTTTAATGAAACTTTACAATAATATTGCTTATACAACACAATAACAGTATAAATTTGACGCGACTAAAACGGTGAGCAGAGCTAGTAATACATAAAAACTATTGACATATTCTTACCACTAGATATTAAGTTTACAGGCTTTAAAGGTTCTGCAATATTGCGAGAACTACTCTGAGTTGAAAATATATCACCCAGCTCATCTATAACATTATTTTTAGCTATGTCATTCTTTGGTTCCTGTTCTGTATTTTTGTATACACTGGCTCCAGCAAAATCTAGTAAACTTTGACTACTTGATTCCGGTGCTGATGCTGACACTGCAGTAGCTCCATTCTTTCCTATTACATAGGAAATAAATGAATTGTATCTTCCGGTAACTTCATCTAGTAGATCAATCGCATGCAGGAGATCGCCTGAAATAACATAAGAATTATAAAAATGAGATTCAAATATGTTTTAGTTAATAAAGCTGTAGGATTGTTATGTAATATTTCATACTCATGTTATCAGCCTTAGTGTCAGAGGCTGCAAGCCTGCGCAAAGCTGGGCGCAGATTCAAGCAACTTTCGTGGAGCTCATGGATCAATTGTAACTCATCTGGCGATGCGTTCCAAGCATGGTCTAACATATCTCGTAGTAAACCAGCACTGTCCAAAGCAGCACTTACTTCTTGGGCTAGACGGCTATTCACCTCGCTACGACGTTCATCCTGAAATATTAACCTCTATGTATCAGATTTCTTGTACGGTAGAAGTAAGATGAGTGGCATATTACTTTTATAATTTGCCATCACTGATTGAGACTAATTTAATGTATGGTTTTAACTTAGTCTGAGATTGCTTAAAGCAATAAGGCAGCCTTTTGTTTAGCTTTATATAATGTTCTTTTTTTTGTAAATTTTTTTTGTGTGCAATAAACATATTATTATTATATAGATACATGTCATTTATTCCTCATTATGATTATAATTAGGTAACAAAAATAAATTTATAGAAAATAAATTAAGGATGAGTAAAATCTGGTGTATCCATTATGTACTACTTTGTTAGTGTAAAAAACAAAATAACAAATTATGAACTCACCTCTCGGACCATTGTTTTTATAAGTCTATTTGCATGTTGCAAATCTTCAGGTTTCTTGCTCTGTAGTAACTTTTTAAGTAGCTTAGATTTTTCTTCATCCTCAAATGTTGCATTTCTTGCCCGGATACGTGGTAATGGTGCTGCATCCTCTGGTGGGAGCGGAGGGGGTGTTTCTTTGACAACACCTTGATTTTTTAGCATATCATATGCAACTTTGAACTTTGATTCATTGGGAAATTCAATAGACCATGCATGTAGCAATTGTAGCACCTTGAATAATAATTAAGACTTATAATGGACACATTTAATAAGAATTATAACATACAAAATTATAGTCATATACTGATATAAAATATATATTTATGCATTCATTTTAAAAGAAGATTATTCTTATTTATTGCACAAAAGTTTTGGATATATTTTATTAAAGTGAAACCATGAAATTTATCCAAGTATGTTAATCTGTGAAATTAAAATTAAATATACATATAAGATAACATCATAATATTAAAAAAAAGCCAATGTATAAATAAATTATATTATTTTTTATAGATTTTATACAATATTATAATAGTTTAGATTATAGTTATGTAATAAATGCAGAACTGAGCAAGTTTTTGAAATGTAGGGAATAATGAATGCCTAAATACGAATTAGGATATTTGAAATAAACTTTTATGTCTGGTGTCAATATTTTGTGCAATTGTGAAATGTTTGTCAACTTCCTATTACAGCACCCTGAGAATGAAATAATTGAAAAAGATAGAAGTTGTATTAATAATTTTTCATCAGATGGTGTTTGTTGATGTTCACTACAATATTTTACTTATATCACACATATCGCTTTACAATAAATGATGTAAAAATAGCATACTAATAGATAAATTTCGAATCCCTTACCCTAGTGCGAACTTTCGGTGCAGTTCTGTCGGCGAAATATTTTGGAGAGACAAGTTTTATCATTTCATTTAGAAAACGAAACTTTCCGATTTCTGCGTGAAAATTAGCGTCACAGCGACGCATGCAGCGATCTATCATCTGGAGAGATAAAAGTGCTTCCTTAGCATTTGGGGTATGTATTCTGGCCGCCAGGGCCTGTGCCGCCAGCTGCGGTCCATCGCTGTGCTCCTGCATGACTGCACAGAATGCTCCCAAAGCCGCTGCATCCGGACATGACAGAGATTCGTGCGTAGCTTTTACTGATTGAAGAAACATCACGTAAGTAAAACAAGAAAGTTTATTTACCACATTATTATGAAAAATATATCGGTACTTACAGATTAATGCTTCCAAACTTGTGAGAGTAACATTCATTTTATTAAACAAAATTTTTAATCATCTATTGCAAATTGAGTGAGCCACACGGTTTATTATTTTTATTTTTTATAGATTTATTTTGTAATTCAAATAACAATATTAATTGTTTGACATTTGTTTATAATGTTGATTTGTAAGAAGCACAGAGTACATTGACAAATTGCATTTCTCAGATCATGAAGAGCCATAGAGGATTATTGAAGACCTACATAATGATAGTAGCTTTTTTATATAACAAATTCTAATAAACCGTGCGGTTTTAGGTACTTAGTCACGTAGCATGGTGATATGGTTCCTTTTTTATACCTCTAGTACAATATTTCAATGTTATCACAAAGAGAGCTGCTAGCTACGAGTTATGTGCGGCGTTTCACAGTCGTGTAGTATCAGCCTTATTTGCAACAATTTGACAGTTTCCTGACTGTCATTGTAAGAATATGTAGTCTGTGATTAAAGTACATAGCTGTCATATTCTTATTATTTCAGTCTAAAAATAATTCCCCAAATATTATAACATTACCTAATTTTAACGCAATATGATTATTTCAAGAATTTCTCGACTAATGGTCCAGACCAAGAATTTGTCTCGTCATGAACAAGCCCTTCAAAAGAGGACTGCCACTACGACTCCAACTGGTGCCATTCTACCAGAACCAGAGAAGAAACCCTTTGGTCTAGTAAGCGTAGTGTGTGCAGTTATACCAGGCCTACTTATTGGAGCTGCTATTAGTAAAAACATAGCTAACTTCTTGGAAGAGAATGAACTGTTTGTGCCTTCTGATGATGATGACGACGATGACTAATGCAGAAATCTGAAGGGTAACAAGCAATATTTATTATATATTTGGCTCGAATAACATTACGTAGGATAATATTCACAGTATATTATATATTTATTTTAAATTATTTATCTGTTCTAAAACTTGTTTGCATTGAAATATAATATATTTCTTTTCAGATAATATGGGTGAATCTAAATTATTTAAAAACAAAGTTTGTTATCATAGTTTATTAGTAAGTATAGGTTTGTTACAAAAATCTTTATTATCGTAATTTGAGCTCAAGCTTTTCTTCCAAATATTGCACTATTTATATTTAGTAATCATTGGACATTCAATTTATATATTAGTGACATCATAAATTTTCTATATTTACATAATTTATATGTATTACAATATAAAACTTCAATATCAGCAGTTTACTATGTACAAATGTATAACTGTACAACTAAACAAAACATTAGTAATAAATAATATTTAAATGCATCATGCTAATATGTGTGTACAAGTTCTTGGAATAGTAATACAACATCCTTGTATGTGAAATCTAGTCATTTTATATTACTACTCCAATTTATAGGTAATATTAATAAGAAATACATGTACATTTACCATTGTTTATCTCAGGACAAAATCAAATAAAAGTTATTTAGTGTTTGTGGCCCTCATTCACAGAGATATGGGAGAATGTAGTATGGACAAGTGTGCATTTTACTTACACACACATTATTGTTCTTTCCACATCCATGACCTATCTTACCACTCTTGCACAAGTGTGTATAAATATTTGCAGTACATGGAGGGCTATGTGTAACTTGTATATATTTTCTTTAAGTCCAGTCTATTGTTAATTTTATGAATTATAAATATTTATTAAATAGGAACAAAAATATATAAACTTATTATTTTTAGCATACTGTCAAATTATGTAAAACAACATACATGTAATTGTATATTCATAATAATTGTAGATAGCATATAAACATTTCTGTCCCAAAATTAAAAAGTATGTTGTCACATTAATTTGTGCTTTAATATTTTATAAGTGAAAGTGTTAAATAAATGACTTGCTAAAATGGCATGATATCAGTCTTTCAATTTCATGGAAGTCACTCTTTATATTCTCCTATTTTTACATTGAATATGTTAAGATTTACATTTAACTGTAGGAGCCTTCATTATATTCAATTAAAATGCAAAATATCTAGGAATAAGAAAGCAATAATAAATAACTAGGTACAAGTGATACTGGTGCATATAAGACTTCAATATTAAATGTGTTGATGGTTCCAAAATGCATCTATTGCCTAAAGTATTGACAGTATCATTGCAACAGAATATAAATATGGGATTGGTATAAATTTATAACAATTTACTGATGTTTATATTTGTAGATAATTATCATATATACAGACAAATTTTCATGAAAATTGGACCAGCTGGCCTATGAAATTGTGTGTCACTTACACCCAGTTCTTTATCATTCTCATAGTCATACTATGATATAATGATAAGCAATACATCCACATTGTCACATTAAGCAGAAAGAAATATTAGTTAAGTGGCGCAGCACTTACTAGGAAATTATGACAAATAGTGATAGACAATGATATGTCACAGTCATATAGTACAATTTACTACTATATGTCACAGTTAGCTGCATTATAAAATATATATAAATATATTATGTAATGGACATTGCAGCATTGTAACAATGAATTACATTAAATTCTTTACATTTCAATCAGATTTATGTCTACACATAGTTTGGTTTAGATACCTTCTTAATGATTTGAATTATTCTAAAGTTTGCAATACATAAAATTCCAGTAGAAAATAAATATGGTGGTCATGTAACATTGCTTCTAAAAATCGACCATCCCATTAATTGACATTGCAATGATACTTTGCAAACAAAAAACTAGTGTACATTATGTAGTGAGTTTTGCAACTTGGTTTTGATGTATACTAAAATAAAATGAAGGCCTGACAACAAGACTTATAAATTAAGTTTATATAATACTGTTTACTTATTTTGCATATTTCGATTGATGAAAAGTTATTATTAGCAGCATATCTATAATGCAAAATTATGCTTTTATAAATATTTTTATTTTTAATAAATATCTATTTATTTTAAAAATGCAGATTAAACATTTTTAAATTTATAAAAGATTTAAATGAATATGTAGAACACTTGGATATTGGCAAAGAGTTATTACAGACTTACAAAATATTAACATTCTATGTAATTCATCCCACTTGTGAAGGATGTATTGATGGAATAAAATCAAACCACTCAAGAGTATATGACAATGGTCTTATATCTTTTTAATAGATTTGTTTTTTAAATTTTTTGGAAGAACATTGACATGTTCTTATCCTTTGACTACCTACCTATTCTATACGTAATAAATTTCCTTCTGTCGACTCGTCAATTAAAATATTTATTACTAGATATTACCTGTTTTTTCTTTTTATAATAATAGATAATGCATGACTGTCCTCATGCTACAATCTATTTTGATAAATTTGATTAAGATCCATTTACCCTTTGTTACTTTAGTTTACTATTTAAAAAAGGTGATAAACACACAGCCAGTTTTGCATTTATAATATTAGTATGGATAATACGTGCATAAATAATTTCGGTAGGTAACCCAAAAGTTTTAGATTAGATTAAGATTTACGATTTATGATACATTGTATATGGAAAAAAAATGAACAATTTGCTGAGAAGTTTAGTTGTTTATTCAGGTGGTCTCTTGTGCTCGCCCCAGCCATGGAAACACTTGGTGAAACGTCGCGATTCCTTATCTTTCAACGTGAGGAACAGTTTCCGCGGCTTGTCAGGTTGCATTGACTTCATATGTTGAATGTATACCTTGGTGATAAAAAGATGTTAAGTAACAACATATTTAAACTTATATTGTTGTTAACAATGGAAAAGGCATACCCTGATGAACATTCACACAAAAGCAATGTTACAAAATATACAGTGGTGTAACTATACCGCTATATTATATAAATTTCACTGATGTAAAAAGTTGTCTGCTTTGGTAGAGGTACCCAAGGTAAGAGGTAAGAGGTAAGAGGACTCACCTATTACAGCCACCGTAATATGTATTTCGGTTGAAGAGTGATTGACATAAGATAGTGAGATTACATAATATGGATGCAATACTCAATAACTTCACTGCAATATATCATCCTCTGAAGGAACACAACATGATTAACATGAGAAATTTAATATTTTTTTGTAGTTAAGTAATGTTTCCTTACTTGTGCCGACTTATATGCAAGCTTAATTTCCACTTCAGAACACTTGGCTCCAAGCCACAGGAACACTTGCTCGCCGTTGTCCAAAATCATAATATCGTCGTCAGCTAGGTCGTCCTACAATAAAAAATTAATTGCTCACATTAGTAAACTTAGTACTATTAGTATTAAGTACAAAATATTGGAAAGAAATAATGGGTTCTCGGACAAATTTCGTGTATGTAATTTTGTAAACCCGTAAACATCGTTTACGGGTTCAAATAATGTTCATTTCTATTAATTTTGGTGCATTGTCTGTGTATGTACAGACCTCTTATATACAGTATATACAATCATAGCTATATGCGAGAATAGAACCATTTTAAGAATCGGTTAGAGGTAATTATTAAGACGGTGCGGTGTTCTAAAACTATAGTTTCAAATATGTCATATCAGTGTATTTTACCTGGCAGAAATCAGTGCATTTTTCGGATACAGTGAAATAACCCTTCTCATTGGAACACCGGAAGAGCCGTGTGTAATTCAGGTAGTCGGCGCCAGTGTCGTACGGCTTGCGGCCGCCCAGCGCCACCCAGAAGAAATTGTCAGGCTCGCTACCCTCCGTTAGTACCTTAGACACAATAGTACTTTGTTTAATGTTATCGTTGAATAATTAGAGTATCAAATGCTGGAGAAACAACATCCACGAAACATCTGTCCCTATGACAGATGTTTCGTGGATGTAGCATCATATCAAATCTTTTCCACTGTGTGTTTCTGGGGCAACAACCTCCGGATCTTGGGCTTCTATGCCAGTTTGATTTAGTATATACAGGTTTTTTTTTAATAAAACTCCATAAACAAATTTAAAATTTAAGTAATCTGACATGATATAGAGCTCTTTCTTACCCTTCCTTTATTTTTAAGTATAACATTGAGTTTGATACGACCCGTCCTCGCTATTTTATGTGACGAGACACATATAAGTACGACGAGTTCCGGGGTCGATGTCACTATAATATCATTTTATATATACAAAATATAGAACAAAGTCGCTGTCGCTGTCTGTCCGTCCCTATGTATGCTTAAATCTTTAAAACTACGTAATGGATTTTGAAGAGGTTTTTTTTAATAAATAGAGTGATTCTAAAGGAAGGTTTATATATATAATAATACATGTACACCCGTGCGAAGCCGGGGCGAGTTAATATCTCATATATTGAGACTATTTGTTATATTTATGTTTTAAGATATTGTAACTATGGATAATAATAATCTGAATCAAATACTCGGCGAGTGAACAACCAGATTACAGATCTACTACCTTGCCACGTTTTATCAAATATTTTCAGCGAAATGCTGTGCCTTTACTACAGTGTTGTCAGTCGACAATTATTATTCCTTTACCTGCAAGCTAACCCAGGGATTATTGAACTTCTCCTCCGCGATCTGCTCTATAAGTCGTGCAGAGTCGGCGTCGCTGTTGCTGCCGATCCATACGTACACTATGGCTGATGACGTGTCGTTTGAACCTTCCAGCGGCACGTTCAGTATGTAACTGTGTCAAATAAGTTAAATTATTTTCTCTAATACTACTGATGCTCATGATATATTTTTATTATTTCTCGTTGCTTTTTTTTATCCCTTTATTTGGATCGGCGTAATTTTCTTAGACTGACCCCTAACGTCCGTCATATCTGAGAGTTCTAACAATAGCCCTGGACACTTCACACAGTATCATATAGTCACAGGCTTAGTAGAGTTTGTTTCATGGGTAATATACAAGTAATCGAAATATACCTAAGTATTTGGATTACTTGTTTATTACCCATATTTTTGGTAAATACATAATAAATATATATATATAGAAAACACTCAGTCCGAAATCAATAACCATGAATGCGGCGTGTATAAATAATGGTGAAAATTACAAACCAGAAAGCACTGTTGAGCTGTGTGGCGTCTGCTTTCACTTGAATCAGGCGCGTACAAAGTGCCGATCCGTTGCTTCGCAGTTCAAATAACTCTACCGGTTGTCGGCCACTTTCCTATCAAATGGAATATTAAAACAATTAGTAACACTAACAACTAAATAACCTGTAAAATGCATGATAACAGTTTTCCATTAGTTGTTGTCTTCTGAATATAATAAAAAAGTGCTATTATAATTAATTTGAATTAAACGAGGTGATTTTGATAGCGTGAAACTCATTATTACCCGTACACGTAAAAATTAAGTGCACAAATAATTTTGTCAATAATTTATGTACAGACAGTTAGTTCATATGAAAGTAGCTACGTGTATAATATGCAAATTTGATGATATAAGAAAGTTGCGTACTATTGTAGGAGCCTAAACCAGCCTAAACTAGGTTTTCCACGTATAATCATCATCAGTATCATTGTAACTGTTTCATACTCACATATAATAAGTCGTTTCTTGTAGCTGTTGGTTTTCCAAATAAATAAATAATCTTACGGGCTTAGTATTCCTCTTGCCGTCCTTGATAATAAATTTCCTGTGGAAGTGCGCCATGAACTTGAGGCTCTCCTGCTGCTGGTGCGTGCGCACGACGTCCAGCCGCTTGCACAGCTGCTTGAACTTGCGCTCGAGGCCGAAGGTGAACGTCAGCCAGCCCATGTTGGGCGCGCGCCGGCCCTGCCAGAAGTACACCACCCACGACGCGCACTCGGCGTCAGACTCCTCCGCCTCGTTGGATGCGTCACTCTCGTCTTCTGGCTATGACAATCATATGGCATATGGTTACATATTATAGTAATTAATTGAAATATTTATATAAATAAAATAATTGCTGTTCGTTAGTTACTCAAAAATGTGTAGACACAAGTGAATTATTTTTTTCTATGCTTAGCTGGTCTACAAAAAAGAAAAAAATTAGAGAGTCCTAGTTAATTTCTAAAAACAAAAATGTCAACCTTAAGTTTATTTTTAATCAGTCCGCAGGTAAAACCACAGGGTGTAATTAGTGTCATATTTTTGTTTACCATATAAACCGTGCCTTTAGAGTATGATATGAATATTTGAGCACTTTTATATTAATTAACAGAGAAATATATGTAAAATATACATTAACTATAATACATAACATATCAGCAGTTACCCGTAACATCGTCTACACAATATTTCATACCCTCCCACATTATTTTTCGCATTTACAATATTATTTAGAATGGAGTGAATGGATTATACTAACCTCAGCCGGCATGATGTATCTACATAAGAATACATAACAGTCGCAACTGTGGAAAATGCCTATCTCATGATCTGGTAGCCGCACAAAGTGGCGCCCTTCAAGTACGAACGCCTCCATCGCTTCCAAGTCCTCGTTCCACTCATCCGAAAGAGTCTTGACTTCAGATGGCTGCATCGGTGGCTGACGTGGTGTGAACAGAGCTGACAGATCCGCTCTATATACAAAACATTAACGTAAGTACAACATTATTAATTTAATTAATCGAGTCGGCTCGTAACTACAGGTATTGGTATTAAGTCAAAACGTTAGGAGAGGTAAAAACCTAATTTAACATAAAATATTCGTATTGAGATCCTTTCCGAAATATACACTATATGAGACCACTAGGTAAGGTAAAAGTTACCTCTAACTACCAAGTGAGTCGACAGCTAGTTTGTCAATTCAGTTATATAAAAAAATCACCTCGAGGTTATTTTTTTATATTTTTTATGTTTGATAATGAAATGATGACCCGCCTGCGCTAACGGTTTAAGCTGGCCAGTGAAGGCTGATAAGATGAACATGAGGTCAGGTCAGTTAGCCCATCGTGAGATATTCACCAAGAATTTATGACGACGGTTTCCAGGGGGAACCGGATGGAGGTCAACCTGACATAGTACATTGCTAGTAATGAGGTCATGAGTCCACATTACTAACAATCCTCTTCCCCCCAGAGAATAGTATATTAATTAGTCCATTATTATACTATTTTATTAGCATATTCATGGAAAGCATGGGTCTATCTCCATAACTGGGTGGCTCGCTATGAGAATTGATCTATTTCAAACAAGGAAACAAGGAACAAGGCGAATGGGATTGTTGTAATGTGGACTGAGGAAACAATTGCAACAAATGTACCATGTTAAGTTAACCTGCACGATGGTTCCCCTGGAAGCCATAAGATAAGTTCTTATTATTTGTCATGATGGGCTAACAAACATGACCTCATGCTCACCTTATCACTTTCCACTGTGCTCCGCCAGCGAAATCCGTTAGCGTAAGCGGGTAGCATTCCATCATCATTTAGTAAAAAAAATGGATACACGTACTTGGTCTCTTGTTGCTTCGCCCAGCTGGCAAGATCAGCACCGGTCCGCGCAACAGACTCCGCGGTGCGAGTGAAGTCTACAGCTATCACTTCATCCCATCCGGCGAAGTATGTTTTGAACACCTGGTTATACAGAAATTTTACTATTATAATAAACATAAAATAATTTATTTATCCATTTACATAACTTTTAACTTTATACAGCACTAAGTAAATATAAATAAAAAAAAAGCTATATTAAACACAAATAACGTTTATCTGGATAGCTAGTATTTATATAAGGTTAAAAAAAACTTTATGTAAATAAAAATGATTAAATACCACTAATTTATGTCCCTGTAGTACTTTTTACATAGGACAGGCTGTGCAACTGTGTACAGCAACAGTATGTGATGATACCTGTGTCTCGGTGCCCTCCACAGTATGTGATGATACCTGTGTCTCGGTGCCCTCCTGGAGTCTCGTGACGAGCGCGTGGGGGGGGCGCGGCGCCATGTTGAACAGCTCCTGCGCCAGCTTCACGGCCGCCGCGCGCACCAGCCGAGACGACTTCTTGCCGAACCTTACCAATATCAAACATACCATGTTTAGCGCCATGGAATGTGAAAGTTCTAAATTTTAGAACTTTTAAGAGATGAAAATTGTATTTATGGCGGAACTAGGTCATTTGAGGTTTTTGAAGAAAGTGTTTCAGAAAGCCGCCTTCAGAAATTAGCGCTTTCAAACTTACAATTAAACCCTTCAGCTTTGAGTTAGTATAGATATGGATAGAAAACAATAGAAACAATTGCAGTAACTCCGTATACTATTGTATTATATGTGTACTGACCATACGAACACGTCCACGTGTGCGTCGAGTATGTAGACGTTTCTGGTTGCGAGCACATGTCGCGTGAGAGTGGCCTCCGGCTGCGGCAGCTCCAGGTAGCCCATGCCCAGCTCCACGCGGTACAGCCGCGGCGGCAACCATGTCAAGTCCTCGGGTACGTGCTCCTATACCCATGTAAACACACATACCGTCACGACTATTTTTAAGATGAGGTAGTCAGGCATTGTCAACTGTCCTATTTGTAGTGCATGCAACACTGGACATGCCCATATTTCGATCGGTATACTTTAAATAAAACGGAGCAGGGGCGAGCTTACCGCCGAATTTTTTGTCATTCATCAAACGGTTAGTCCGAAATATAAATTAACATATAAAGTATATTTTTGGCGTCGGTTAAGCTAAGTCGTTGAGTTTCGAACTTACGACTCAACCACAAAGTACAATGTTGAATACTTAAAACAACATATGCCTTACAATATAACGGATTGTATATTTGACTGATTTTACAGGAGTAGGTACAATTTTAATAGTGCAACAGTTAAAAAAATGTGAAAAGAAAACTTGTGTTTAACTTACAGGTAGTAAGTTCAAAACTGGGAGACACCAAAACAAAATTTGTATATTAATTTACATTACTGACTGACTCTCCGGTTAGGGACTTGGCTTCGACGCGATTCAGGGTAGTAAACCACAATAATAGTAGGTCACAATGCTCTCAAATATTTTATGACAATTTCCATACAAGACCAGCGTCTCGCTTTGCAGTCTCTTCTAATTAATCATTTCTTGTAATATGGTAAATGTATGAATAATTGGTTACCTGTGGCACAAATGGTGTCTCATCATCATAATCCAATGTTTGCCAGAAGCTCCTCGGCTCCTTCCCAGGCTGCTCTGCTATCAATTCAGCTTTGTTCTTTCTCTCCTCTTTATTCATTTTCTCCGCGAACAGGCGAGCTTTGGATTTTAAAGTGTTCTTTGCCTTTTTACCATTCCTAAAAGATAATTTTCGTATTAATTTCTGAAATAGTTGTTTTTTTTATACAACTGTCTATATCAAACTATAGTCAGTTGTCCAGTACCCACAGCATACGCTCTCTTTAGCAAGAGTTTATGATGTACTAGATTCCACTGTGAGAATTGTCAAGGGATATTGCTATTTTTTACTAACCATAAGTATATAGTGAGGCCGGCGTCCAACAAAAACACGAATCTGGGGTCGAGTTCGTGCGCACGCGGCGGCACCGGATGCAGGCGCAATCCACTTCCAGCGCTCTCCACGCGGTACAACCGCTTCACGTAGTGCTGCGAGAGATCATATATTTATAACAGTTTCTTAGTTATATAATATTCTTTACTGCTGCCGCACCCTGAGCTATTTACGAGTATAAAGAATAAACATAGACCTATAGGGGGAAGGGTATTGTTAATAATGTGACTTTATTGAGATTGTTAATTTAATAATAGGTTAAGTAAATAATATTTTATTTAAAATTAAATATTTATTAAATTAATAATATTAAAGTTTAAATTATTATAATATTATTAAATAAATAAATTGTAGCAGGATACAAGTATTTGATCTACCACGTCGAGAACCTGGGAGCATCAAATGATACAGTCGGGAGACATAATAGAAGTATGTTTAATTGACATGTTCTGGCCTTATAAGCCAATTTACACGTGTCATGCGTACACTCGCCGCCAAAGGTAACGACAGCTTAATGGTCGCGACAGCCGCGTTGCTAATGAGTTACACGTGCCGTTTGATAAGAATTCTGCGAAGGTCAGTTACAATGACCAAAGGTGGCACGTGTAGAACTTGAATGCTGCTACAAAATAAAGAAATAGGTAGTCACCGGATCGTCGACGGTGAAGAACCCGGAGGGCGTGTGGCTGCCCTGTATGTAGACGGGCGGCGTGGGGAACAGCGCGAGGAAGTCGGCCGCCTCGTCACCCTGCTCGTGGCGCTGCGTGCGGCGCGCGCCCAGCAAGTTGCGCAAGTTCACCGCGTGCATCGCCGCGCACGCGCCCTTGTCCAACTGTACAGGCACAGGCGAGACCATCATCATCTGCTTCTTATTTATCACATTCACTTGGGGTGGGCGTAATATATATATATAATTTCTCTCTTCCATTCATCCCTTTTTTTTATAACACAAGGGATAAACGAGGTTGCGGCTTACCTGATGGTAAGTGATTACCGCCGCAGATGGGTTAATCGCAAGGGCATTGCAGTTCGCAGTCATCTCCTATTCATAATTCACAGTCATCTCCAAGTCATATCATACTCTCTTTCTTGACATATTATCATTCTCGGCCTTCATCTGTCATTATAACCATTATATTCATATGTAATACTTCCTTTAAAACATTATCTACATTCATTCCAAGGTATTACATGCCATTCATTCTCTATCTTATCCATTCTTGTCACACCACACATTCATCTCAATGTTTGTATTTCTGTTGCATACTGTCGTCTTTCATCAGTCGCCTTTACGGTTAATACAATACGTAAATAATACATACGCAAAATCTGAATATTGAATATTTGGGAGAATTCTTTTGTTGTCCTCGGGTTTATAATTAATTTAACTAATACTTGTATAGTATCTCATCTAGTTCGGTTTCGTTGCAAACTCAGAGCACCAAGAAAAAAACAATGCAACAAGAATGTATTACCAAACCATAGTGATAGCGTATCATCTTATAGATATGTAAAGAATAACGTTAACCTGGATTAGACATTTTCTACATTCTTTACTACAATAGTCACATTAAAATTGTTACTTTAGTTTTGATGTTATCAAAAAACATTTTCATTGCTTACTGTTATGTTGTTATTGGCATTTATTTATATCTTATGCCATCCAGTTGTATCTCTAAAATGTTACATTCTTATGCTAAATATGCTATAAACTTTTTTTAGCAATTAAACTGTATCGGTCTTACGAATTACATTGTATTAATACTGCAACAGTTAAATTAGGTTTGTTTGTTTTGAATTACGAAATAAATTCCCGTAGGACTAAAATTTATAAATTTTATATACCAGAAATGGATGTGAAATTTGACTATTAATAATTTTATAAATATTTCAAAATTTGTCAACGATCGATGATGAACAGATACTCACTGTAGCTTTCGACCCGATCCAAAAATGTATATCCCAGGAGAGCTGCCCTTGTTCCTCAAAGAATGTTTTCAATACGATATAGCAATCGCCCTCAAAGAATTTGCCATGTGCGACCTGGAAGAAATATTTATTAATTTAACAAACTAACTGAACGAAATTGACATACTTGGTAAAACATATTATGATAATTCACGTTTTTTCATAATCACCCAACAAAATTGTCTAAAATTCTACGATTCTAATGCTTTATTTATAAATAGCTCGAATTGTTCTATTTTTAAAACGTTATCTTAATTTAGAGGCCAGAATTTAGATGTATTGTTTTTTATTACAAGTACATGTAGTTGTTATACGTCATCTACGAGTACATAGATTCCTGTGCTATTTCTTAACTAGTCTTGCTTAATAAAAAAAAATCTGATTTATCCAACGTAGATGTCCAAAATTATATTACGAACTCCTACAACCTATCGATAAAAATTAATGACTATATCATAAACGTGATACCTCTTCCACAGGGGCGGGGACAAAATTCTCGATTTCCCAGACTTGCAGGCCGGGCGTTTGTCCGGTATCTTCGTCGAAAAACTCAGAATAGTCCAGCGGCGGTTTCTCCAAGCTTTCGTCCCAACGCTTGGGTCTAAACAGAGAAATACAAGTAATTATCAGGTCATAAGATTCTGTTTGTTTCAAATTAAATCTTAATAATATTATTAACGCGAAAGTTTGTAAGCATGGATGAGTTTACTTACTCTTTCACACAAGTATGGATGAGTGTTACTCTTTCACACAAAAACTACTGAACGGATTTTGATGAACTTTACCGTAATATAGCTTATGAATCAGAATAACATATAGGTTATTATATTTATTCTTGAAATTCAACGCGGGTGAAACCGCGAGCACAACTAGTCAAAAATATTTTTTTCATATACAATATTTTAGCTGCTTGTGAACGTCAAGATTTTTTGTAAAGTTTTTTTTAATACTAAATTCAGTCCACAGCTTTAATTGAGAAGTACTGGCAAGAAAATCAAATGATGTTCTTTTTCACAAAATAACCACATCCAATATTCAAAACCATCACATTAAAAACGTCTCATCAAAAACTTTTTCGCATTCGCAAACATTATTTGCATAGGAATAAATTATAAAGATGAATTGAGACACCCCTATCAAGTCTGATATAATACTAACGCATAATAATCAATTATGGACAAAAACACGTTTGTAAAAATAGTTATAGTTGGAGTAGTATTGTCACACATCTTAAGAAATAATAAACATATGATATAACAATAATAGAATTTGTTTATTAATCCTCGATTCATAATCAATACATAACAAACACGTACGAAAATACGTATGATATTCTTTTATAATTTGGTTTAAGTTAATACACAAATTTTAATTCATTCAATTTCAAAACTCGTGTCGTGTATATACGCCGGTTCTGTAAATTCTTGACTCTTCCATTTCCTACATGACAATCTAAAATGGTATTTCAGTTTAACGTTGTACATACGTCTTTAAAATTGGTAATGATATCGGAGCAGTAGTAGAGAGAGTCCGTCTAGTGTAAGTGAATGGCAGAGAAAATATGAAATAATAATCATTACGATTTGCACACACATGGAGCGATCTAGCCATCTAGCGATCATATCGCTGCTTTTTTAGGGAAATATGTAGAAGCTGTTATTTAATTCAAGGTACGAATGGCCCATATTATAAATACTATATTATATACACTAACATACATAAGTAATAATGATATATATATATTAATTGTTTCTGTATTCACGGCACTGACTACGGCAATCTGCCACGGTAGCGCCGACACACCACCCCCTTCAAACAATGGTGTAGTGGAACCCCTATATTTTATCACTTTCATATTGGATATCTGTTTGCTCAATCATTCATTCGACCTTCTTTCCGCATGTCCGAACTAACGTAGCATGCCATTTCTCTTTTTTATACCGACACTTATTTAAAATCCACTCGCTCACGAACATATTATTATATACACACATATATTATATGCACACTGAATGTATCCAGGATTTCCTGTAAGAGATTACTAGTAGGATAAGGCCTTTGTTATTTATTTAATGAATGCTAAATACATTCTTACTAAATTCTTTTTGTTCTATTATGTAGTGCGCAGATGCCAAGTCTGCGATGATAAAACTATAATAATATATATTCATATTTTAATTAGATATTTGTGAATAAAGAAAAATAATAATTAATGATAACAATTATATTATTTACTGCGTACTAAAAATTAGAAAAAAACACTACGTAACCGATGTAAGAAAGTGGGTAATAAAAGACAGCCTTATCACTAAAAAAACTGCACGTATATTCCTAATATTTATACTAAACCATACAAATGCTATAAATGTGCTGATAAGCTATCTTAATCTAAAAAAATAGAAATGAAGGTGGTGGGTAACAGCTAAATACCTATATTATAAATGCAAGTGCAAGTGAGCCTGTTCCTTCCTGTTATTCATGGGATAGGATGAATATGAAGTCAGGTCAGTTAGTTTATCGTTGCCCTGACATAGTATTAGGGTAGCAAGGGGACCACTAGCCCTTGTTATTGAAAATCCTCTCCTATCTCCTGTAATAACACAACTAAGGCGGGATCTTAGTTGTGTTAATGGTAACACTCACTTGAGTTCGCTGTTTCGCTGATCGAGTCGCTCATCATTATGCTGAGTGTTGGCCTGCTCCTGCATGCCGCGTAGTATGAGCGCTGAGTCGCGTTGCTCGGGCTCCGGCCTACCGCGGCGTAGGCGCAACTTACGCGCTATCGGGTCCGACTTCACACCTATATATTTTTATGAAATTAGAATGATAAAACCCTGACTTGCCGGACGGAATGTGGTAAGTAACGTATATAGAATACTTCATGATCACAGCAGATATCAAGAATATAGTGTTACGCGTACAGTAGTATCATACCGTATCATGTATTGCATGTAATGTTGTGTCATACACTATAATTACACCGCCGCTAAGCTAATTTCTGCTAAGATATTAGCAGAACAGCTTGCAAATCACGGCAGAATTAACTGTGACAAATATTTTCTTATTAAACATAGTGTTTCTGTTACGTCAATTAAATTTCTTTTGTGTTGGAGCAACATAAAATATATCATAATATAAAATATTAAATTATAATTACTAGGTGAATGCGCGCCTGATGACAATGGCTAACTGTCGCGGTACTTTACACGTGACATCGCTGATATCACTCATACCTTACCATTCGTAAGGTATCATGCATTTTGTAATTTTACTGCCTAATCTCACCTTACAACCGAAACATAGAGTACACCACCAAGTTGCTTAGTTTAATTTTAATTGATTATCAGTTTTTGCTTGAGCTGGCGTCACTGCTACTCTTGCAAATAGTAACATTTTTAAAATAGAGCAAAGTCTGTGTTTGCGATATCTAATTTTCCTCGCTAATATTCCTTGGCAGATCCAAGCGCATTATTGTACAATACTATGGTTTCTAAATTTGCTATAAATGGGATTTGTCATTTAATATAGTTAATACAAATTAACTCACTACTAGGCGTTGTAGGTTCCGTGCTAGCTGCGCCTGCCAATTGCAGTTGAGCTTGTAACGAGAAATCTATATTATAATACTGAAGCCCCGCGCCTCTAGGCCTCTCCACTGGTTTCGGGGGCATCACCAGGTCAGGGTTGCCATGAAGCTGTAGGCTCTCTAGGTCGCTCAACAGGTGTATAGCATCGGGCAACGTAATCAGTTTGTTGCAACTCAAGTTCAGTTTTTTAAGGGAGCCACATCTGAACAAAACATTTTACAGTAAGAATGTTAAAAGTGTTAATTATAATTGGAATTAAGATTTGATCTTTTTGCACAAAACTTGGGTTCATTCCAAATGATAATCTCTAGATATTCTCCAGGAGCCAAAAGTATTTTAAATAAAAGTACTACACTAGTGATAAATTTACTGTTACATCATGTTGGTAAACGTGATATCTAAGTCAACAACGCATATATATATAATTTATAAAACAACAATTAAAAAAATAACAAAATAGAATATATATTACAGTTCTTATCAATTTCTAATCTATACACATCGGTTTTTTGTATCAATCAGTTCTGAGGCAATTCTCTCAATAAAAGTAGTTAGAATTAAAATTATATTTCGTGGATAGATAGACTAAACTACATTCTCAATTAAGTTAATTTCATCTCAATTTACGTCCAATTCAAACTCTATTCACATAATCGTCAGCGAATGTGTTAAGTATCTAGGCGTGAATGAATTTGCATGACTATACGCAGGTGCATTGCTATGTATTTAATTATGATTTACGCATAGTGGTGAAAGTGACATGAACACAAAAAACCATTGCGCGATGCGTTTATTAGAAGACTAACGTAATATACTACGACTGTATTTCATTGTAAAGTCATAAATACGAAGTAGAGACTAAAATTGATTTAGCTAGGTTATTACTAAAGTTATATAAGTTATTATTTTAATAAGGTAGGTAAATCTTAGTTTCAATATAGTTATAACTAGCTGTACGCGACTTCGTCCGCGTGGAATATAACTTTATATATTTCTAAAAGAAAATATTTTTTCTAAAATAAAAGTAGCCTAAGTTACTCCTTATTACATCAGCTACCTGCCAAAAAAGTACCGTCAAAATCGGTCCAGCCATTTCAGAGATTAGCCGGAATAAACAGACAGACAGACAGACAGACAAAAATTGTAAAAAATGATATTTTGGTGTATGTATCGTATTTATATTCATATACTTGTAGTAAAAAACGGTTATTTCAATAATACAAACAGACACTCCAATTTAATTTATATGTATAGATGTATAGATAAGATCCTTGTACGGGCACATTGCATATAGGTTCAACTACAAATACAGAAATTTCAGCATTGAGGAATTGGTTGATCCATTAAAAATGAAATAACATATATATAATTTCAGAAAATCGACGAACTAACCTGCATAGACCTTCAGGTATCATTTCTAGGTGATTACTGGCTGCAGAAAACACTTCTAAATTGCCAAGTTTTCCAATACCGGAGGGTATGCCCTCAAAGTCCAAATTATTATCATCAACATGCAGCCTCCTCAAGTTTTGGAGTTTGCATAGTAATGCAGGAAGAGAGGTAAGCTTGTTCCGAGACAGGTTCAGACTTTCTAGTTTCTGCCACATGTCCATTGCTGTTTAAGTAATACACTGATTTATATGAAAATGCTAGTAGTACTAAAACATTATTGTAAAAAATAACGGTTACTTGTATTTCACCTATATTTTTCGTAGGTAAGTATTATTAGTAAACAATGACGTGTTAATAAGAACTATGTTAAAACAAACTTGGTTAAATACTATACATTTGCATACAACAGAATCGGAATCCTGAAGAGACATTGCCTTATTTTTAACGTATTATTTAAGCTAACATGGCTTTTTCATACAACTATTCCTATATTAGCCGTCATATCTAAGCTTACTCTTCATCATTCAATATAATTGATATAGTAGATATATTCAAAACTTTTAAACATTATGAAAACATATTACGCCCACCCCAAATAAACGGGGTAAGGAAAAAATAGATGATGATTCAATACTTTTAAAATACTGTTTTCGGTAGATACTACGTATTACATGTGCATACCAAGATAAGTATAATCCTGAAGAATCTTTGCAATAAATATTTATACAAAAAAATTCTATGACTCATTTTCAACAAAGATTCGCCTTCGCCAGATATGGTATAGACATTATATGGTTATCAAACTACCATACCTACGTATATGTAGCAATAACATATGAAACAATTTATTAAACAGAACAATTTTTGAACTCTTGTTCATACTGAGATTGATCATGTGGCTAATATGCTGGATATATCTTTTTTAATCTGATCGATAAATTTTTAAACATGCATAGGTACGTTATTATTGTGATAAAGAGAGAACATAATAATAGACACGTGCAGTGGAGAATTATTTTGTATAAATCCAAGAAACATTATTTACTGAATTGTACATAATTACATTGGAAAGTGAAAAACTATGTTGGTGTCAGTCATGCGAAGTAAATAATTTGTATTTAGCATGCTGGATACATGCGAACGAGTTTATCAACTGTTACGTTTATGCTTATAAAAAATAGTTGAAGGAAGGAAGTATATTTTGTTCAAATCAGAGCATTTGCCATTGCCATATTGTCATTATTTACTCTAGTTATGTATTGGATAACTAGAGTAAGTGTATAAGTACATACCCATTGTGTTAGTGTTAGTATATGTGTGTACTTATATAAGTTAGAAATTTCTAATAAAGTATAATATTACAATCGCTAGGGAACATAGTATAATTTTTAAGTTCTATCCCCCCAAAACTCTACCAAACTACAATTTAATACCAAGAAATGGGTGTAACTTTAATTCGAAATAAATGGATAATTACTTCGCTACTGTTTCAGTAATGTCAATGTTTAGTACATCCTTAACCAAAAATCTTTTATATAATGAAATCTTGTAATATAGAGTGGTTGGTATATAGACCACATGTTTATGTGACGGATTAAAAAATATTTTAATATTTGACCACTAGACATTTTTAATTAGTGTCATTATATACATATAGAAATGTAACATACCTGTAGACACCTCTGTAATTTCGTTGTCGCTCAAATTTAGCCTCTTTAAGTTTTGTAGAGAGTATAGTGCGTCTGGAATTTTAGTGAGAGCATTTTTCGATAAGTCCACATCTGACAAGTTTGATAGTGTATCCATAGAGGTAGGCAAGTTGGCGAGTGTACGCTGTGTGTTGCGCATATGCAAAGTCTCCAAACTCTGCAGTGATGGCAGTTGTCTAAAATGAATCACAATATTATTACTCTTATTTATTAATAATATAATATTCAGGTTTTTGAAGGGTAGAGACAAAGTCCACATGGAGTTTCATGCTTCTGTATGCTATAGTATTTCTTTAACTTTGGTAGTTGTATTTGGATGTTTAATTGGTTATTTTATATACCATAGGGGACAAACAAGCTAGCAAGTCAACAGATGTTAAGTGATTGAGCCCATGAGCAACACCAGGTGAATTGCAAATATGTTGTAGTTAATTTTTTCTTTTCTTGAAGGTTTCAATATCCTGTTACTACTGTTGGACGCTGTTTCCACAATGTGGTTGCATGTGGTGAAGTTTCTAGAAAAATGCATGGTTGATGGCTGCCACTCATTCAAAAGATCAGGATGGTATTTTGATTGACACCATTGTGGTATAATAAAATCAATATAATATCCTACTGTAAATTAATTTTCTAGTACAAAGATTATGAATTCAAATACGGTGGATAGTAGTGCACACAAAATAACTGTCAAACTTTTTCTTTCTGCTACACTGATAAAATACCAAAATAATTCAAGTACAATGGTAGGTTCCAGCTCTGCCACACATTACACTTATGCCAAACTTACTTGTGAAATATGACTTTGTCAAATTATGACTTTATCATGATATTTATAATAGATTTTTCCATTTTGGCTAAGATGAATAATGATGATCATGATGATCAATACACTAAATTAGTTTGAATGGGACCAATACATCATCATTATTACTTAGTATAAAATAAAGTCTCTGTCGCTGTCTGTCCCTATGTATGCTTAAATCTTTAAAACTAAGCAAAGGATTTTGAAGTAGTTTCTTTTTAATAGAGTGATCCTAGAGAAAGGTTTATATATATAATACATGTACACCTGGGCGAAGCTGGGGCGAGTAGCTAGTTTTATTATATAAATACGTAAATATTAGGTACTTACCTCAACTGAAAAAGACCCAGTGGGTTGTCATTTAGTATCAGAGTCTGTAAATTTGCCAGTCTCCTTGTTTGAGGAGGTAATGTCTCCAGTAAATTGTTGGATAGATCAAGAAATAGAAGGTCTGTTAGTTGTACAAATAGTGTTGGTGGTACACTTTCAATTCTGTAACAAATTATCATATGATTATTATTATGTAAATAATAATATCCAAGAATTATTCTCATATTACCACAACTGAGGCCAATTGGAACAAAGTAAATGCTAAAGATTTCCTAGATTACAACAACCAATCAATCAATTCAGACTTCTGAAATTACCATGCAATAAACAGAGACAATAATTCAAACAATCATTGTTAGGATTCTATTACTATTGCACTATGTAAATATTATTTTTATTTGTCAAGATGATAATTATTTAAACAATCTTACATGACTTTTGACTCTTTTGTCTTCAATAAGTTCTACGTTTGTCATAATATTCAAGATTATTATGTACTATAAATTTATAAATGTATGCAAAAATGACACTTACTTGTTATGACTCAGATTCAGCACTAGTAGTGACTTGGCCTTATCAAGACCATCAGGAACTTCCTTAAGTCTGTTGTGAGACAGGTCTAATGTTGTAAGTTCCTCCAACCGGAACAGCTCAGCAGGTATACCTGAACTCTTCACTTTATTGTGTCTCACATTTAAAGATCGCAAGCATTTTAACTCTGTTAGCTCTCCAAACAATTTTTCTAGATCATTCTTTTTGATAGATAAATTTTCCTAAAAGTTTATAATAACAATGAATAAACTTTAAAATACCCTTGTGAATCATTAAGTACTCATTTCAAACAGAAAAATTATAACCTTGGTGGTCTAGTGGTTTAGTATACTAGATTATTTCTGATATTGCAGGTTTTGTATGTAAATGCAAACTAGTATGATTGTTTTTGTAGCACTGGGTATTTTCTATTTATTTTATTTATGTAGAAAATGTATTTCAGTATTTCTAACATTTTTTTAGTACAAGTCTGCTTAGTTTGAGACTAGATGGTATTGTGTGAATTACCCTAGATGATTATTATTAAAAATATATAAAATGACATGTAGGTATTCCTATCAACTCACCAATTTCATAAGTTTTCCTAGTTCTTCTGGAATTTCAGTCAAGTTAGTTTTATCGAGTCTTAGCCATTGAAGTCCAGTCATATATCGTATAGCATCGGGAAATTTGGCACCCTAAAATTGAATATTTAGGCCACAACATTATAAATAGTAAACACAGGTTAGGGATATGATATCACCCTACTATGAATGCGTTAATAAAATTGTTTGACTTACGCTGAAATCATTACATGTGAAATCTACACCACGAACAAATGGCAATAAGCCTGTATTTGCCATTTTAATGAACTTTTATTACAAATAAAAACCATAACACTTTAAGTTCTTTCTCTCACAGGTCAGAAAGACTAATAATAATGCACAGATCACACGTAGCCTAACGTTTCTGACGCGAACGTCACACAAAATCTCTGAACAATGCATTGTTCTGAGCACAAATCGTCTATGTACCATAGATTGTATAAGTTCGACATCGCAAGTATTATGCCAAAGTATGTTCATTGACTGAAAATATACTGTGTAATTTACAAGTTTCTTTTATATATTTTAGCTTGGTTGTTTGAAAATTGGAAATTGAGCATTAGCATATTACCACAAATAACATAATATTAATACTTAACCGACTTCAAAATAGAAGATTTTTTTAAATTGTACTGTTCTACGCGTTTACGTAAAGGACGTATGAAAAATAGCTAAACCATTCAAAGTGAAAAAATGCTACTGACTAAAACTGGCACGTTTATACTTCGGGAAAACACAATGAAATTTTGCTTAGTTTTGTAATAGGATTGATTTGACCTTATATGTAACAAAACATAATAAACGATATCTGAAAGTGCCAATAATCTTAATGTTAATAACGTCGCGATGCGTCTCTTAGACGAGACGAAGACGAGAGCAAATACTGGCGTAATTTCCTTAAAATAAACCAAATAATAAAACGAAGTCTTTTTCAGCAGTGCCTTTATTTCTAGACTAATGACTCCCAAACTTTATAATCAGGACAAGTTATCCCCACTTCATTATATGCATACATACATTAATTTCTTTCCAAAACATCATCATTAAACAAAACTGCTAAACAATGTTTCTAATCTATATTTAAGCTAAAGTTTGCATTATTTATAATTAGATTTAGGTTAAATGCAATTTAGAGCTATTTAGATATTTTGATAAGGATTTATATTAGAATTTGATTTCAGATTGTGATAAATATAATTCCATGTTACATAACAGTTCTATACATAAAACTAACTAACATTAAAGCATTCATGACAATTAGGTTTCTAGACATTAATAATGTTGAAAACAGATGGTATCAATAACATTTTTGACTTTGGTACATTATCGGGGTATGGGCGGCAAATTCGGCATTGGTCCTGACAAGGCAGCATTGGTTCCCAATAAAACCTGGTAAATAAAACAGTACATTATTAAAATAAAATAGTATATGCATACCTCTCCATAGTATCCATCAAGGGTAAGAGGTTTTTGTGTAGTACTAATTAAAAGATATTCAATATAGAAGTATGATTATTTAGCTATCAATTTGTGAAGGTCAACCTTTGTTTTTCAACCAAGGCTTTCTAAGTTTCTAGCTTTTATGGTAAAATATTATTAGTAACTCGCTACGAATAAGTAATAATACATGTAACAAAACACAATAGTAAAATTTCTGTAAGAAACTTGAAACTTATTAAATACAATAAATGGACACTTTCAAACATTTTTTTTTTTTTTTTTTTTTTTTTTTTTTTTTTTTTTTTTTTTATATCATAATTTGAGCGCGTTTGACCGCAATCTCACCTGATGTTAAGTGATGATGTGGTCTAAGCTGTTACACGCAAGCTCAAATAATACCTATTCACTCTTGACTTAAAAGACCCAATATTGTAAGAGGCAGGAAAAATAGACGCTGGTAGAGAGTTCCACTCCTTAGCTGCTCGCATAAGGAAAGATGATGCAAAACGGTTAGTTCGAGCAGCTGGGATGTCAATAGTGTAGGGGTGGAGCCGCTCTCTACGTCTTGTTGTACGTTGATGGAACGGTGCTGGAGGAATGAGGTTGTGCAGTTCTTGAGCACATTCGCCAAAATGGAGCCTATAGAACACCGATAGACAAGCTACTTTACGTCGGTGATTAAGACTTTGAAGCCTCTTAGCTACAAGTGATTCGTCCCCGATAAGTCTCCTTGCTCGTCTGTCGATTGAGTCTAGAGCGTCAAGTTGGTACTGAGCGGATCCATCCCATAAGTGGGAACAATACTCCATGCAAGATCGGACCTGTGCTTGGTATAGCGTTAAAAGCTGTCCAGGCGTGAAGTATCTCCTAACCCTTGAGAGGACGCCCAGTTTTTTTGATGCCGTTTTAGCTCTAGATTCAATATATGCCCCGAAATTTAGGTTGGATGATATTGTTAAACCAAGAAGATCGAGATGGTCAGAAACCGGGACAGATGCATTTCGAAAAGTTGGAGATAGATTAAAGGGGTTCTTTTTTGTGGAAAAAAGACAAGCTTGGGTTTTTGTAGCATTAAATCTCATGAGATTAGCATCACCCCAGTCAGATACCGTCTGTAGCTTCTGATCTATTCGCCAAATCAAACTCTGACGTTGGGAATTCAACTCTACCCCCCCGGCACTACTATTAAGCAGGTACCTATCTGAAATAGTACTATCGTCAGCATACCCCAGGATTCCGGGTTTAAGCACATCATTCATATAAAGCAAAAATAATGTAGCGGAAAGAACGGACCCCTGAGGCACCCCGGCATTGATGTTAAAGAGGTCAGAAGAGCAGCCGTCAATGACTACCCTTATCGAACGTTCTTTCAAAAAGTTCGAAACCCAGCAGCAAAGACTATTAGGGATACCAAAGGAGGGAAGTTTGCTTGTAAGTCCATCGTGCCAAACCCTGTCAAACGCCTTGGAAACATCAAGAGATACAGCAAGAGCTTCACCATATTTCTCAATAGCTTCTCCCCATTGATGCGTAGCGTACACTAAGAGGTCGCCAGTAGATCTGTTTTTTCGAAATCCATACTGTTGATCACTGAGGAGCTCATTGTCTTCTAGGTACGTTAAAAGATGGTTATTTAATATACGCTCCATAACTTTACAAATTACGGATGTAATAGCAATGGGACGATAGTTAGAAGGGTTTGCTCGATCACCTCCTTTGGGTACCGGTTGGATATTTGCAAGCTTCCAGGAGATGGGTACTATTCCAGTTGAATAGGACAAACGGAATAAACGTGTCAGTATAGGAGAAAGTTCAGCTGCGCAATTCTTTAGTACAATTGCTGGTACTCCATCAGGCCCCATGGCTTTATTCACATCCAAGCTGCGTAGTACTTTGAGAACTTCCTTTTGGTGAATGTGAATTTCCGGCATATTACAATTGGAAGTGGGCAACTGAGGTGGTATGCTGTTACCGGGATCCAACCTAGAATTAGCAGCAAAGTAAGATGCCATAAGGTTTGCCTTTTCTACAGTTGTATGGGCTAGGGAGCCGTCAGGTTTTAGCAAGGGAGGAAGAGAATTTCTGCAAAAATTTGACTCGACTGATTTAGCTAAGGACCAAAAAGCTTTACTACCTGATGGGTGTGACACAAGTTTGGCTCCGATTCGGTTTATGTGAACAAATCGTGATTTACGGAGAACTTTCTTGCAGAATTTGGTAGCGATGTTAAATGCTTTTTTCTTGCTTTGCATATCCGGTGATTTAAGGGTTCTTGAATTTGCCCAGGCCAGGTATGCTGAGTGCTTAAGAGACTCTGCCCTTGCACATTCCGGGCCAAACCACGGTCGAGCTCTGTGACCTATAGGTTTTTCAGAGAATGGAATATAATATTCCATTGCCTGCATAAGTACCTCAGATATTGAAGATGCACATTTCGTAGGGTCTTCAGACGAAAAGCAAACATCACGCCATGGGTAAGATGCAAAGAAGTGCCGCATCTCATCCCAGTCCGCGGATTTGTACTGCCATATTCGCCTTGTACCCGTTTGGCTGAGATCTGAAGGAGAGCTAGTCAGAACCGACTTGACCAGACAGTGATCAGATGACCCAAGAGGAGTGGACACTGAGATTTGGTATTTATCAGGATCAGTGGTCAGAAAGAGGTCCAAACAGTTAGCTGTGTGGTCACTAATATCAGGTACTCTGGTCGGTTGATCGACTAGTTGTGTGAGGTTAAGCGATATGGCAAGATTGTATGCCTCTCTACCAGCAAGATCTGTTTTCAGGAATGGAGCAAGCCATTGCTGATGATGAGCGTTGAAATCCCCCATAAGGACTAGTTGGGCTGAGGGGTATCTTCGTTGGGCCTCATCAGACGATATGCTGAGATATTCAAAGAACCTCGACGTTTCCCGGTCATTGGTATGAGATCTGTAAATACAGGCGTATATAACCTGTTCAAGACCCGTGTCGACAAGCACCCAAATGGAAGAGAAAGAGGGATCTTCCAAGTTGCGAAGGCGTCGGTAGCACATCTCATCACGGATATAAAGACAAGCTCCAGCACGTTGTTTGAAATTGTGTTCCAGGGTGTAATGTGGGTAATTGAGGTAAGACGAGTCTGCTGGATTACGTATTTGCGTCTCCGTTAGCAGGAGTAAATGAGGCTTAGCGGTTTCAAGATGGTAGTGGACCGAATTGATATTTGAGTGCAAACCTCGAATGTTAGCGAGATGCACTTTAAGTGAGAGGCCGTGCATCCGCTGTTGCAACGATTTCTTTTTCCTGTTTATTACCATCTTAGGGAAAGTGTAAGGAAGAGTGAATATGGGAAAGGATGGAAGATGTACGAGACGCCAGCATACACCCATCAAGAATATAGAGTCGCCGCACAGAGGGAAAGCCTAGTTTGGAGACTGCGGGGACGCCCAAACCCCCCCGAGGATGCCCATCGACGCCTCTCATCCGGTCGCCAACCGGCACGATGGAACAATTCGGGATTTTTCGCGCGATGGCGGGGCAGCCTTTCATAGGTGGCTTTCCTACTAATTGGGCCCCCTACTGTCGGCGGTCGGCCAGCGGAAACCGTGCTTTGGATCCCGCTACCCTCCTCAACTAGGCACCATATGCGGCGAAGCTACAACTTAACTACGGTGAGATATTTGGCGCTACTGTACGGCCCCAACCTTCCAATATGGCTACTCGTAGCATCTTGACGGAACACGCGAACGTTTGGCGTCATGGTTTTGCCTTGAGGGTGGTGACAAGCATACCACCAGAATAGCCTACTATTACCACGCTGGCCGGGCGGATTGGAATAGGGTTTAGTTTCGAGTTTTCCTTCTCTACACGGGTGTTGAGTGCTTAAGATTCCCTCAGTCGCCTCTTACGACTTCCACGGGATGATACGGAATGGTGACATATAGTATTCTTTCTCCGTCACCATACGGATAGAAACATCATTCAATCAATCATTAACTATGATAATATTAGTTGACTGGTGACTGGACCTGCAATTAGGATGTTTGTAACATGGCAACTATCTCAGTTATATAATGTGTATAATTATAATAAGCAGTATTATGTACATAATACTGTAATAGTATACATATACTACAACCCTACACTTTTCAACTTGCAATACAATAATACAAATTAATTTCATAAATTGTTGTCAATTTTATAGGTACCTGTTTCTGTTGTGTTTTTTGCATTTCCTCCATTTGAGCTCTTTCTACTTCGAAGATGACAGGAGCAAACAAGATTACTGAGGAACTAGCGACTATCCAAAGAACGGAGCGAGAGATGCCATATAAAGATTTAACTCCAGACCTATAAGCAAGCATGTTATTAATATTACTATAAATAGTACAACACATAATTTGTATATGATGGTGAAAACAATTTGTAATACAAAAAACTCTAAATTAACAAACATTAGTATGGACCAATAATTAAGTAAACTCTGTTTAAAAAAAGAACATACCTTTACAAAATCAGTAAAGTTAAATTGCATTTAAAATCTCATTCTTTTGTCAGTGAGTGTGTCATTAGAATTATTTTTTTAAGAATCAGATAATTTAGAACCTTTAGGGTATAATTGTCTTATTTTTATTGTAATGTATAATATATATTACTTTTAAATAAAAATTAAAAATACACAATGAACATTATTCAAATATTTCCAAGAAATAATATATAGTGCACACAAAGCATCAATGTTGAATGTTGAAGTTCCAAGTTCAGGTCTGAGTAGAGACATGTCTATAACAACATAATTTCTTAGTAATAATTTATAAAATGTGTATATATATATTTTTGATAATAAAAATTAAAGGTAAAATAGAAATAAATATATAAAACAAAGTAATTATTACAATTATATATACATATAAGAAATTGTCATTAAATTATCTAATCTAATAAATTAATTTCTAGAATAACTTTTTACCATGTCTTTGTAGTGACTGTATGGGTGCCATTTCTTACACATTCAGGGAACATTTCAGTCAATCCCCATAATCGTTCGGATAAAGTTTCATCTGGCTCCTGAAAAATTATATCATCCACATATTATTTAATATTAATGGATAACCTAAGTTCTAATAAAATAGTTATTAAACAGTATCGTTACGCGGTATAATTGATAGTGTTATTAAGTATTAGTTAATAGTAATAGAAAATATAGTACAAATAAACTCACGTCATCATACTCCTTCACAGGACCACTGAGAGGTGTGCTTGCGCTGGGAGAAGATCCTAGCTGTAAAGAAATAAATAATAATGAGAGAGACACAAAACCTTTTGACGAGAACTAAGCGTTACATACCGATGGTGTTATAAAGGAATCTTCGGGTCTACGATTACGTTCTGGAGTATCATCTTTGCTCGCCGTCAAAGATTCCATTCCGCTATCGCTTTGTTCAAGCTCATCAGTCAAATCCATAAGCATGTTACAGAGTTTAAATAAAATTTGTATGTGAGTACTAGCGTGATAGATTTATTAATTAAGATCCAATAATACTTATTTTCTTCTAATAAGATAACACGAGTTAAATATTAAATTAATAAAATAAAGCATGTATAGTAGACTAATTTGCACAGAGAGATGTGCACAGCACACAGTGCACAGATCAGGATAAATAGGGTTGCCATTCTTACAACATTTAGTTTAATATGAAGAATTAAAAATTCCGTTATATTCTTCTATAATAGCTAAATTTTGCTTCCTAATCTATTAAAATATTGCAGTATTTTAATAGATTTTCGAAAATCCAAATATCGTACAAACTAGTACGTGGATGAAAATGTCGTTGTACCTAAAGACAAAAATCTTGTACTTGTATGAGGACGCTCATACGGTTGCCATCCCGACAACAATACAATTCAATAAAAAAAAAAGGAAAGAATACGAAAAAGGACATCACTAATCACTGTCAATGTTACGTTTCAGTTTGACACTTAACAATTAATGTCAACATAAAATTTCGTCATCTGTCCAGGAATATCTTCTCTGTGCTAATCTTTCTCGTACAGGCACGAAATTAATGTACGAAGTACACAGCCATAGTCGATATTTTCTGTTTTTGTAGAAGCTTGTGGTGTACGATAAGTATATTTATCACTGCAACCAAACTTTTGTAGCATGAATCTAAGATCAGTATTTAAGTTATTATGGGTAAACTATATGCCATTGATTAGTTTCATGTAAATACCAAAAATAAAGAAATATTTAAAACAATCGCTCATTTATTGCCTTGTACACTTCCATAAAGTTTTACAAGTTGCGTCAAAAATTACAAAAAATATTGTCTGTACAATAAAAGAAAATATATCGCAACAAATTAACATCTTTCTAAAAATAAATTTATCGATCAATTGTTGATCAGTCAGTTTAGAAAGTCTATGTCAATGAATAAACTATACCTATGAGGTCATTAATTTGTTCGATATCTAACAATTTCTTCAAACAATATATTTCCACAGTACGCTAACGGTATTTATTTTGAAAACAAATGTTTGTTTTATTTACCTGACATTCAACAGGAGAACTGCAAGTGTATGTGGTGTCTATTGGCATGTTTTGTGAAAAAGATAATAATAAATCTGTTTCTCAATTGACTTGATAAAAATATCTAAAAATATTGTTTCCAATATAGAATATAAATAATGAAAATATACGAAAAGGTTGTAATAGCGAAAAATCGAGGGAAACCTCATTGGATTCGCTGAAAAAACTCCCTTTTAAAATTACCCGGTAGAGCCGCCACTGTGTTTTGGTATAAGGCATTAATTACACGAGCTTGTTAAATGTTTTGCATATAATAATCTAAATAAAGCAATATTCGCAAAATGCATAACAAATGTGTAGATAACATTTATTATGCATTTTCCGAGTATTAGCTATAATTTTTTTAGTATGTAATTAGTTGACATGTAGGAATATTTTTGCTCTAGTTATTGTTGTTAATGGTACTGCAATGAAACATGGATGTGTGTATTGTATTACACCTACCAATTTGAATAAAAGAAACGAAGTGAACAATTTTTGTTATTGTAAATATCAGACATTATTTGTTTTTCTCTAAACTTCAAGACCATGATTAATTTTTTTTTTATAGAAACTGTACTTAGTACAACAGTTAAGTCCTAAGAGGGTTAGGACATGTATTGTTTGTAATTAGGATTTTTGACTAGAAATGTACCTACAATGACAGGTTGACCTCCACGCGGTTCTCTCTGAAAATCATCATCGTTGATTTTCAGTGATTTCTTCAAGATGGGATGATTTGACTTCATGCTCGTCTTAGAATTCTGTACAGCTAATGCGAGTATATTATCCCATTATGGAGTATCTCTCTCTATATGGTTTGTGATTATCTCAAAAGGTATCCTACAAATCATCGTAGTTAATTCCTTGTGAATTCGTTATAAAATGGGAAACATGCTCATTGCACTAGTCAGGCAGTATAGTGTAAAGAAATAAACTAAGTTTAAATACACACATATCGTATTTTGTTTTTTTTACGGTGAACACTTTAAATAATAAAATTTAAAATACGCAGGTGTGTTATCACCCTAATAAATTGAAAATCAAAAATCATTTAACATTTTAAATTTCGAATAACCTTTTCCTATAATCCTTTTTAGTTCATTGAATATTAAACGAAACTATTACTGATTGTATGAAAATAAGTATTTTTTTGTAGCTAAATTATTTTTTATGCCACCAATCTGTTTATCTGTGCTAAATAAAGTACCTACATATATATGCATACTTCGTAGTTTCTTGTATTTCTTATTGGTAATCCAAGTGTATAAATAAAACTAATATGTAAAAAATGTCACATTAATGGTTTAAATTAGTTATTACATGAACGAGTTAAATAAAACCTGGACAATACAGGCTGATCTTTACTCTAATTAAGTGTAAGTACAAAGTTTTTATGTAAAAAAATCTTGATTTTATTTTATATTTGTTATTGTTTATTTATTATGCTGCTCAGTTTTACGTTGCTTAGGTATGGCAGGAATTTAAAAAGCATGTATTCCAAGAGTATGTTTTTTTTTATAAAAACTAGACTAATATTATTGTTATAACATATGTTTATATATGCATATGTACTACATATGTTTATTACATTTCAAGTCTCAAGCCCTAGGTTCTTGCAGTTACCTAAAGTTCATTATTAATAGAATACAAAAATTCCAAACCATTAATAGTCAAAGTTTAATAGTTTTTGATAAATTTATGATATTTAGATTTTTTTAATGAAGCTTACTATTTTTTTCAATATACTTATTTAAAACAGTACAGAATTATACTAAATATTTCTGTAGTGTTTTAAAAAAATATAATAAATACAAATAATTCATTTTATTACATTTTTTTATGAGATGTGTAGTTTTAAGGAGTCTCTAAGGGACCTCTTCTCCCATTTCAAAACAGTACAGGAACAGAATTAATGGTATGGTATGAATATATATACATTCAAAAATGGTTGCTTTTTAAAATTGCACTAACACTAGACAGTATCTGAATCGTAGCCAGAATGAAAGTAGAAGGATGTCAATAATAAATCAAATCAAATCAAAAATCATTTATTCATGTAGGACATTTTAACATCAGTTTTTTGTAATGATATTCTCTATCTACTGTCCAGTTCAGTATACAGATTCAATTGAGAGAAACTGGCTAGAAACTCACTAGTTTTTTGATATATCTTATAACAACATACTTAGTTCTATTTTAGTTATGATAAAGAACTATTTAAATTGGGACAGGTTCTTTATGGAAATGACATTTTCTTTTGGTAACTCGTCCCTGTATTTTGTGTGTCATTTTACAATAAATATTTTTCAAAGATAAATAAATCATTTATTAATTATTTACCACTTTTGCACATAATCAGTTTTAAAGTTCTCTACCAAGTCTATTTCAGTTGAAAATAACAGGCAAGAAATACAACTGCTAATCATTTTTAATCTTTAATCAGTCTTTTAATCCTTAGCTTTTAAATACATACATATATAATGATAATTTATTATAGAACCACACTACGTTTATGAATTATTCCATACATTTTCCAACAATATGAATATACTATCAACTAATAGTGAATTGGATATCCACAATCAAACTAAGAAATAATTCTGTGTGTTAGAGAGTGGCATTCCTCTACAGTTCTACACAAATAAAAAACAATTACAACTCTACTCCTACATGAGTACAAATCATCATAGGACATCCAAAATATGTATCAGAAATTTTAACTTGTTAAAATAAAAAAGGCACAGACAGGAGGGGATGGGACTGGGTGGGACATGAATGGTGCGCGTATTTGTGTGCGTGTATTTATGCTTGTGTGTGTGCGTGTGCATGGGCGTGTATGAGTCTGCAATTGCGCATGCGTGTATACTTGTGTGTGTGTGCAGACAGGGTCCCCACCCCATTCGTACTTTCCATTCACGATTGTGGTGCAGCGGTTTCGATCCCCATGTAATGCAAATAATTGTGTTAATATCTGTTTGTCCCTGTCTGGGTATTTTTCTCTATATATTAGGTTTAATATAGGGTATCGGATATATAAAGTAAAGAATTGCGCATTTACTACCAGTTCACAGTAAGTCTACTGATAACAGACAATGTAATATAATTATATGTACTAGCAGACCCGGCCACGCGTTATTCAGGCTAAGGTTCTTGAATAAAATAATATTGCGACTATAAATTGAGATGTAAGCTTCCTATCTTTCAAGTTTGATCAAATTGCACACAACGTCCAAATCAAATTTTTAATCGGTTCAGTAGTTTAGGAGTCCATCGCGGACACACAACGTTACACGTAAATTTATATATAAAGATATTGTAATAATATAATTCTTAATCCATTCACACATCGCCATTTCGTCCCAAGCTAAGCAGAGCTTGTGTTATGGATACTAGATAAGAGATATACATAGATAATAACCAGACCAATTTTTATGCATACAAATGTTTGTACCGTGCAAAGAGTCGAACCCACGACCATCGGAAGTAAAGCGGTAAGCTAAACCGACAATAGATTTTCTCAAATGTAGTAAAATTTATTTAATTTTGTTAACCATTATGATATTTACTGCTAAGCTAAGAATATAATTAGGTGGTATCCGAAATAACTCTGTGCTGCCGCTGTTGAACTGTCCGTACCCCGTGGTATAATTATAATCATTTGCATTGCATTGCCAAAAAGTTACCGCGGCTGTTAAATATTTTAATGAGAATTTTGCTAACATTATCAAAACAGATAACGTTATTAAAATCTGTCAACGTGTTTTAATTAATTAAATGTTTAGTATTTTATAAAAAAAGAAAAATTTTAGTTGAAATAAGTTGATCATAATAATTGTTAATCTTGTTTCATCAGCATTTCTTCTCACACCGCCCGCGTGTAGCCGAACTGGTAGTTGGGGATAGTAGATTTTTTAAATAGAATTATATTACGAAAAATTTTGTAATACAGTATAGTATACGTTTGCCCCTCCGATCAAACGGCGATTGAAATTACAACGGCTTGAGCCGAGGTTCAAAACCTTAGCGTTGCCTTCAGACTAAACTCATATCCGTCAGGAGGGAGTTGGGC